CTAGGGAGAGGGGGAAATTCATTTCAGCTAGTTTTAGACAGCTACATCTGAAGAGGTCCTCTAGCTTCCTTTATAGATACTTCTAGTGCCATTTGCCATGCTTCAGACATTTAGATATGATGAACGATACCAAAGAAGTACCTGCTTATCTAATTCAGTATTAGTAGCTTGGATGTACTCAGTGCAGTCTGCACTGCAGAAGTCTGAGTTTAGATATTAAGGATAAGATTCATCTGTCTGATCTAGCATTACTTTCATCAAGTCCATGTTTTCTTAATTTGCTTATAAGAAAAATCACATGACACAATGTCAAAACCCTAACCGAAGTCCAAATACTGGGCATCTACTGCTCTTTCCTTACCTAAAAAATCTGGTATCTGCTCCTAGCAGGGAATTAGATTGCTTTAATAGGTTTGCTTTTGGCAAATCCATGTTGTCTCTTACTTATTTCTTCACTATTTTTGAGTTACTTTAAGCAGTTTATCTGTTCAGTGACTTTTCCATGAAATGAAAATAATTCCCCACATTCTCCTTCCTTTCCCCTTTTAAAGATAAGTTCTACATTCTCTTTTAGCCTGTTGGTACCTCATCCATCCTCCAAGAATTCTCACAGAAACCCACTAACAGGTCTAAATTTTTCAGACTGTTATGTAACACAAAATGAAGTTTATTAAATCAATTTTAAGATACCTAACCTATATAACCTGTTTTTTCCTTATCTACAATTGAGGTTCTAGCCCTAGGATTAGCTGTGTATGTCATATGCTCACTGATGACCTTTTCAGTAAACATGTGATAGAAAGTCATTGTACGTTTTTGCCTTCTCTGAGCCTACCAGGAGCAGCTTTTCCTTTCCTGCAGTACCTCTCTTAGGTGCCAAAGATTCCTTTCTTATATTAAATCTTCATTTCTCTTGCTAGTTACATCTCGCTGAGTACTTTGACACCTCTGACTTGCGTCTATGTGTTATTCTACCATGCTTAGTAAATAGAGAAATTTTTCTCATTATGTCTAAGGTGAAAGAAAAGATGACAATTTAGCCAAACTGGTCTTTTACACTTTCTTTTCTTCATAGTGGTGAAGCTTGTACTATAGTCTTTAGTGGTGTTCTGTTGAGGAACCCACATAGTTACATCTCGCTGAGTACTTTGACACCTCTGACTTGCGTCTATGTGTTATTCTACCATGCTTAGTAAATAGAGAAATTTTTCTCATTATGTCTAAGGTGAAAGAAAAGATGACAATTTAGCCAAACTGGTCTTTTACACTTTCTTTTCTTCATAGTGGTGAAGCTTGTACTATAGTCTTTAGTGGTGTTCTGTTGAGGAACCCACAGATTTCTTTTTAAAACAAATTCTCCGAATTTGTTGACATCTACCTTCTTGAGACTTTTTTTCCTAGACAGTCTGTCAATGTAATTTCTTTCCCAACAAGTGCTGTGGTAACTAAAATCTCCCATTACTATTAAGTCCAATGGCTTTGGATACATACCAAGAACAACTATGTTCTTTTTTGCTTTCCTGGATACCAACAGATATTTAACAGTGCTAACTAATCCTATTTTCAAGATCTCAAAGCAACCATCATATTTTTTAAATATAAGCCATTTCCTCTCTTCTTCCCTTCTTACTGAAGAAGTTATATCCTCTACATGACTGGACTACTAGTGTAATATATATGATAAATTCTCTACAATGCCAATTTTGTAATAATCTTCAAGTAATTCTTGTGTATTCCTCATTAATTCTTCTGTTAATTCTTCTCTGTTCCCCTTTCTTCTACCATTAGTATACAAACAGCTAAGATACCTGGCAAACTGACCCATGACTCTTTGTCTAGTCACTTCTTTAATCCTGTTTTAAATAATCCTAACTTTCTCAAGGGTTAGACCTATGTCCAGTTTGCATTATTTAAGATTAAGATTTTTGTTTGCCGCATGGTTCTTAATTTAAAATTATCTTCTCTCAGAATAGAAGCCATGTAGTTATATTTAGGGTGTATTTGTCTGATGCTTGACTTTGATGTGAGAGGACAGACAATAATATCTCTTGAATCTTCAACCTCTTTATCCATTGCCACAGAGCCTTATAAACTCTTTTTGTTTGCTCAGGATCGTTCTTGGCAGTATCTTTAGTATTCTTTATCATATGCTAGTGATCGGTAGAATCCTTTGCAACTTGGCAAATTTGGACTCTTGTGAAGAAACACACCAGCCATAATATAAGTGCCAGGTGGTGCAGATGTCTCCACATGACCTTCAGCAGAAGGTCACTAGCCAGCACCATCTTTTCCTCTGGTTTTGTACTCCTTGGGGTAGTGGGGGTTTTGTCTGTTATTAAGATTAGTTCTTATTTGCTCCTTGGTCAGCCCTCTTGCTTTTGATTTCAGTGGTAAGCTATTCAGATGTAGAATGCTACATGCCCTCAGAGGACATCGGCAGCCATCTTCCTCTCTGTAGTTTCAAATTTACTCCTCCAGTACTGGAACTGCTACCAAACTGAAAGCTCTGCTTTAATTTTTCTTGTTTCCAAATGCATGCTGTGGATGAAAACCTCATGACCATACTCAGCCAGTTTTGATTCTCTCCTTTCACTGCTCCTCTAATTGCTTCTTAAGAGATTCCCCTGGAGAACTAAAAGAAGTCTTTCCAGATTTCACCAGTAGGAAAATATAGGACAAAGTTCCTGTAAATCCATTCAAGGGTTTCATCACAAGATGTCATCATTGTCTAATTTTAAATATAGCTATTGAATTATCAGTGTATTGACATATTTCCTTGCAAATATTTTTTACTGAGAATGAGATACTATGTAGTATAAAAATCTCTTTATGCCTGATAGATAAGAATATTTGTGGTTGAATTTAATACATTTTTGTTTTTACTAACAGTTCATAAAAACACTGAAGTATAATATGAAGCATAGGACTAAGTAAATATGAAAATGAAGGATTCCATATCAAGCTACATCTGCTCTTCACTATTATCAGAAATTTTACTGTTTGCTAAGAAATATTAGTCAAGAAAAGTGAAGTTTCCTGAATATAGTGCTCAATAATCTAGATGCTTTCAGTTCAACACAAAAAAGAAATCTCTTTGACACGAACACTCTGAACATTAAATACATTATTTTTAATCTCTAGTGGATAATCTTTTTTACATATATAGAATCATAGAATCATAGAATGGTTTGGGTTGGAAGGGACCATTAAGGGTCATCTAGTCCAACCCTGGGTGCAGTGAGCAGGGACATCTTCGATTAGATCAGGTTGCCCTGTCCAGCCTGACCTTCAATGTTTCCAGGGATGGGGCATCTACCACCTCTCTGGGCAACTTGTTCCAGTGTTTCACCATCCTCATTGTAAAAAATATCTTTCTTATAGCTAGTCTAAATCTACCCTATTTTAGTTTAAAACCATTACCCTTGCCTTATCGTAACAGGCCCTGCTAAAAAGTTTGTACCCGTCTTTCTTGTTGATGTGCAGGAAGCTGTACACTGAGTAGAAAAAAGTTGGGACTCAGAGTCCTGTCTGGGAAAAGACGAAGCAAATTAAAGAGTAGATCTCCTGCCAACTGAAAGAGCTGAAGAACCAAATGCCACATTTGAATGTCAAGAAAAATAATGCATGCAGTAGAAGCCACAAAGTGGCCAATGACAAGAGTTGTGAGGTATTTTCTGATCTTAAAAAGAAAAAAGTAGAAAAAGAGAAGCAGTGTTCAGTCATAGGAAAGGACAGGGTAGTACTTACACATCACTAAATTATGCAAATCTGCACATGCATATTGTTACTTTTGTCTCCTTTTCATAGTTCTTACTTGTGCAACTTCTTAATGGATGCCTGATTTTGCATTTGGTACTACCATGATAAAAAATAATAAGCAGCAAATCCTGAATTACTTACAATATCTGCAGAAATTATTAACTACCTCCTAACCTAGAGTTTCCCTATGAATAATTCTCCCTTCCAACAGTGCAAGCTTCAGAAAGTAAAAATAGCCTGCCAGGACAACATGGCTAGCAGTTTTCATGATATGGCCCCTTACTCTTTTAGAAAAAAAAATAATCTGAATCTGCTTGTTGTATCTGCAATTATATTTGTGTTAAAATCAGCTATTTTCTCTTTTTCCTAGATTCCCTTTTCACTGTCCAGCTACTGTTAAAATAGCTGTGTCAATTTACTTGATAAGACACAGTTTCGTTCTGTACAGGTATAACGCTCCATGAAATGGACGGTTGTTAAAATACTTTTTATAAAAAAAATTAAGCAATTAAGTACATAGTCTCCTGCCCAATACATAAACCCAAGTAATTACATGCAATTGCTAGCAGGGATGTATCAGTACAGGTGAGTTAACATAGCTTTGCCTCGAGACCAAATTATTCAGACATACAAGTCAGTTTTCTTCCCATGAGTTCGGAAGATGACACAGTAAAATACTTTCAAAATTCTTATCAGCACAGTTGCATAGGTTTATGCTGACACACCAACAGGCTAGTCATGACTTAGAGTTCTTAGAATTCACTGTGGTAGGGAAGTTTTGCAAATTTTCCCATCATTACTAAGACCGGTCGCTGGCTGTCAGCAACATTTTCAGCCCTGTGCCAAATATTTGCTCGAAGCAGCATTAGATAATATAAAGCTTTAAAAAGTGTCAGCAGCTATTGGACTATGTCTGCTCAGGGTCCCATAATTCCACACAAAAACCCAGCTGAAAAAGATTGGAAAATATCCCCCTAGTAGAAAGGCTTCAGTGCGAAGACAGTAATGGAATACTTTTTCTGGTTAGATTTCAAAACAACATTCATGACTCCAATATGCTATTTAAAGTAACAGCTCCAGGATACTGGGCCTAATGCATCTCTAAACATGGATCCCAGTTATGGTTATTCAAATACCTACAAATGATTTCAATACAGCGGGTTACTTAGTAATCTCATATCCACAGTTTCCCTATAGACAGTTAAGTCAAAATTGAACAATAGTTACTTGGTTTTCCTTACTTGTAGCATGATCATTCATCTCCCCCAGTCCAGTATTAATTCCAGCATCTATTGAACTCATGATTTTATCAATCTACAAAAGAGAAAACAGCAAAAACAATTGATGGACCCCATCTTTGTTATTTTATTTTAGTTTTTCATGCATAAATTTACGACATTATTACTCTCATTAGGAAAACAATAATCAAGATTGCAAAATGCAAAAATCAAAGGTAGACAACTAATTTCTCCACTTTGATTTTCATTTTGCAACTTCTGTACGCTAGCAAAAGCTAAAGCTTGAGACCAATATTTCTTTTTCTACAGTACAGTTCCTTTCATACTGACAACTGGCCATCTAGGTATATCTCATTCTTTGAAACTACTTTGTGATATTTCAGTATATAAATACAAAGGAGAAAAATCCATGTATTAAAGTATATGATGGAATTTTACAGGCTTGTTTTGTTTGATGATAACTGAACCACTAGAGGTCTATTTAAGCGGTAATATTAATGCATAAGAATATTGGTTTGTGTGTTATAAAGTACTAAAGCGATTGTTCAATTAAGATTTCCAGAGAATTTCCTAGCTTCTTTTTAACATCTGCCCCAAGGCCACTGAAGAGATATGAAACATAGCTGTGTCCCCACGTACCGCAGAATGATATTGTTCGTGAAACAGCGCTACACTGATCCCAAAACTCATTTGTACATTTCTAAATTACATTGAACTTACTATGTCAAAACTATTATACCTATTTTATTTTCTGTAAGAACAGGACAAAACAAAAAGTGAATCATAAGGCTGGTGGTGACTAAGAAGGCAGACACAGAGAACCAGGTTTTACTGAGCTTAATTTTAGGACTATTAGGAAAACTGTCTCCTTTTTAAAACCTATGTATTAGTCACCAGTGACAGAAGAAAATCTGGGAATTATGTCAGAATCTGCAGATTTAGAATTAATAACTTTTTTTTTTATAAACTACATTTTTCTTACTCTTAAGAGCAATCAAAACTTGATGTCCCCCTAAAAAGGCAAACTTGGACCTGACTTGTTTCAGGATTTCAAAACAATGTATCCAGTTATTAAGATCAAAACCTGATCCTGAGTACCTTTCCACTGAGAAAGTATCTATCTCCTTTACAACAAAAACTACCTTCAGATGCCGCATCAAATCAGACATTCAGATGAGCTGGAAACCTTTTTCCAGAAAAATAACCAACCACACATACAAGCTCTGGGCTCTTTCTGAAATGAAATGGCACTCTGGAGATATAGGCATTTCTCCATAGCAGTCATTTTAAAGAAGAATGCTTGCTTCTCTGCAATAGCAGTAAAGTTCTACACATTTCCCACTCTTAATTTACCTCAGTAAGATGGGAACTTTTGCATCTATGAAGAATCATTTACACTCTTGAAATTTAACACGGGAGAAAAAAAAATAAAAATAAGGTGTCTAAAAATTATTTTAAATCTAGTTCTAAAATCAAAATAAAGTCTGTTGTATGTGCATTCCAAACTCAGTGTGGACATTTCTTCCAATAGTCCCGAATTCACTGTAGCTATAAGTGTATTCCCACCACAGAAGGGTCAGCTATATGCCAAGCATTCTGCACACAGGCTACATACCAGTTGGAGCATATGTCGTATAGGGAGGGTTTGCAGAATGCATAATTAGCCTAAAAATCTTAGAGTCTCTATTCCTGCTATTTTCTCTTGTCTCTTGCTGGTGGGCATTGCCATGGTGGGAAATAATTAGCAAACATGTAAATAGTGGGCATAGCTACAAAGAATTTTACCGATTTTATTAGTGTCAGTGGTGAGGGCTTTAGTAGAAAATAATTTCAATGTCACAACAAATTGTAGAATTACTTCTGGTTAGCTTCATTCACTATGGGAACAACAGACTTCATTAAGTGTGCAGCAATTTGCACAGGAATGCATTGCATTTTGTGCCAGCTGTCAAACTACCATGCATTACACTGTGACATCCTCTCTGAGGATCCACAGCGTGGAAGATTCACTTTTTATTTCATCTCTGAAACTGAGAGCAGTAACGGCATTTTCACAATACCATATACTTGCTTGTACTTAAAAATGAGCAAAACTTACTTCTTCCCATTCTGATGTGAAGGAAGGTGTCCTCTCCGAATTCCCTTTGGAGCACTGCTGGTTTGGTGTGGGTTCACTCCAGTTGCTTCTTGCTTTTTTGTCATTTGGTGGATGGGTGATAAGATTAGAATCAGATTTGGAAACATTTTTGCACAAATGCATTTCAAGCAAAGTCTTTGGTAAAGATCGTATTCTCCCGAGTGTGCATGCTCGCTCCACAAATCCCCCTGTAGTAATAACCCATTGTTCACTTATCCTTGTTGACGTGCCAACCAAGGTATGATTTTCTACTGGTTTAGTTTTAGTATGAAATATGGTTCTGTTTACAACTGGTGGCTTTTTTTTCTTAATGGGAGGATCACTGTTGCTTTCTTTCCGTAGCTGTATCTGCTGCACTGTGCTCTTGCTCAAAATGTTTTTCTCTAGTGGACCGCTGCACGGGTTTGCTTTGCTGTACAGCTGGAGTGGATTTTCAGGTGGGTCACACGCAGGTGATGATCCATGAAGTAAACCTTCAAACTGTTCAGCAGTGTGTCCTTCAGGAAGCTCACTTTCAGTGGATGTTTCTTCCTGGCAAAGACGCTCTAAAATGAGAAAGAACCTTGTAAAAAACCCAGGGTAATAAAATACTGCAAACAACGAAACCCTTACTCTCTGCAAAATGACTTTTGTATGCTGCTTGGTTCATTTTTATGTACAGAAACAAAAGATACTTATGCCATGAATTGATTTGTTCGTCTCTTAACAAACAATTCTCTCCTTAAACTCAACTATTTCATCCTGACTGGTTGAAAAACAAAACCACTCAGTGCTACACATAAATTCCAGGAAAAAACAGATTTATAAAATAAAATAGGTCATTGCTATTCGATCAACTTGATGGTGTCTCTTTTAATTTGTTATTGAGATGAAATGTGTACAAATTATCCAGTTTAGTATGATGAATTAGCTAGTTACTTTACAGGTAGTAAACACATAAGGAACCAGTACTGTCAAGAGTATTGTTAATAATTTTTCTTTTTATAGTCATTATAGTAATAGTGAATTTACACTATGATCCCTTTTTACTGACAGTCTCTCAAGAATAGATCTGAGTGTTTTTTTGATTTCTGGGAACTTTTGAGAATAGATTCACAGTAATAGTAACCATTGGAAAAGAATAATAGGAAATCAAGTCTTTTTGAAACAAGTTTTAATATGCAATTTAGCGCATACACACACACAAAATGCAAGTACAGAAAAATGCACTTTTTGGCACAGTTCAGAGTGGATTATTAAAAATGTATAGCTCTTTTTATGCCGGTTGCTGTAAGGACTAGGAGAGAGAGAAAAAAAAAAAAAGATATCTTTTTCTACCTGTGCTGCCTCATTTAAAGTGATGGTGTGGGTAACATCACTCTATCCACATGGCATTCATTTTGCATATTCTACTCAGAATAACTGTGTCCCCATTAACAGCTGCATCTCTATAACTACTTCATTAAAGATAAATACATTAATCTCATTCCTTTTTTTCCTGCTAGAAGATGTACATTCATATGCAGACTCTAACTGCAGGACTGTATGCACAGCACCAGCTACCAGAAGGAATGAAATATATCATAGCATCATGTCATAATTTTCAAAGAACTTGAACAGTTTCCACCTATTTACTAAAATACCTGCTTGTAAAAAAACCCCATAAATATCCAATATCACTTCTAAAAGGAGGCAGTATTTGATTATATGAATGATATAAGAAAGATTTTAGTGTGTACTTCAAAACACCATCACCTCTTTTACTAGTCAGTAGCTTAAAAGTGTAAAATTATGTGTTTTTCTCATTTGTTCAAATATCAGGATAAAATTCTAATCAAGATTAGGGGTGCAACCTAAGAAAATCTACTTTTCTTCTTTGGGAAACAATTGACTAGAATATACACTCAAGACATTTTGCAACTATAAAGATGTGGGGTGTTTGATGAAAGGTTGAATGTGGGATATGTCAGATCTTAAGGAATCAGTAATGCCAGAAAGGTTGGTTTGGGGGGGGGGGGGAAGCAGAGTAAAAGGATGACATGGGACATTTTCACTTTCTTTGATTTCTGAAAGTTCCTGCATTAATTGTATGTCTGTAATTTTGAAGGTGAACTTAAAAAGAAAAATTAATGATGCAAACAATGTTTGACTTTGCTGTTTTTCCCTTACATGAAAAACTCAGTAGCTGGGATTCAGCTCCAGATTAAGACATCTCATTTTACATATCTACATAGGAAAGAAGTATGTAAGCTCCCACCATAGTCAGAGATCAGGTTGATAAAGTCAATGGATGCTAGAGCTGATGCCACTCACTGTAAGTCGTGTCTGGTCAGCTGAATCACTCCCTGTACTCTGTTAACTGTATTGACTAGATTGCCAATGCCTGTAATGGGAGATGGCATCCAGTTTGCATGCAGATACCTACATTGAGATGTCTTAATCATGAACTGAATTCTATTCTGCTGTTCCAGAGGTGAGTCTTAACAGTTGACTATTGAACTTACTTAAGAGCTAAATGTTTTTGTCAGGACAAATTAAGAAAGAAGAATAAATCAGGAAAAAGAAAAGCTTACAGACACCTGGATCACAAGGATTTCACTAATGTCCACATTATGGTCACTAATATCTTTGCTACATCTATAATACTAAATAAACCGTTTCTTTGATACCCTTTGCTTTAACTAAGAGCTTTGTTAATTATATGACAAAGGAGGCAAAGACCTCATAACCTACTTCTTCACCACATGATTTCGAGCAATCCGAACCATATCTACATTGTGCAATGAAAAAGACCGCAGTTGTCAGGAAAAAACAGTATGTGGTCACGATAAAGGTTAAGAAGCAAGCAGCATTTCGTGCTGCACTGCAGCCCTAGAACGGGTTATCCAGAGAGGTGGCATTGCCATCCTTGGAGGTTTTCAAGACCTGTCTAGGGAAAGTCATGTATGATCTGGTGATGACAGTCCTGCTCCAAATAGGAGGATGGACTAGATGACCTCCAGACATCCCTTCCAACCAACACTTTAATAATCCAATTATAATTCTGAATCTTTTGACTTTTGAATTGATAACTGTTAAAGCTGTTAAGTAAGTGTAATTCTCTTTTAATACAGTTTTGTATTAGTATTTTAGTTTCCTAATGCAGTTAATGCTTAATACTTTTATGTTCAGAGAATAATGAGAGTACAGAGATGGACTATACCACTGCTCTAAATAGTACAGTAGGCTACCACTCATTGTATTTTTCTGAAGAAATCATAGAAGAAAAAAAATAATCCATGCAATAGTCATAAAATAATTTGCCAGAGTATGCTTTTCTTTCTTATTCCAACTCAGCATTTGTTGACCTAAGACCTGAAGCATGAGATATTAAATAACCTCTTCAAACTGCACCATGTCTAAAACTGCAATGACATGTCTTCATTGCTCATGTGAATGCCCAAGATCTCAGTCTCAAGAAACTAAAGTATGAAAAACTCTAAACAGGATAATATAATGCTGCTTCTGTTTCCTTGCTAAAATAGGGAACTTTACTCTAAAAAAAATTCATTCCTTAGCTTTTAATAATTACCCATATCTGAGATTGGTGTCTTTCCATTGTTGCGCATTTCTGCCATAAATTTTAAGACAACTGATACTGAAATCAATATTTCTTCTGAGGCTTAGCAGTGATGCACAAAATGTGATATTTTATGTATCATTTTCTGCCTGTTTTTTTAACAAATTATTCTTGTTCTTTTGAATACTGTTGTGCATTGAAAAAAATCCTTTCATTAAATTGCCTATACTGATGATCAGTGTCCTGTGTGGTTAGAATTAATCTGAAATCTACTGATATATCTGAGAAATCCAGACTCCCTTCCTATTGTGTTCTATCCCCTAACCTTATCATATGCTTTTGAATCTTCTCATTAGATGCTTTATTTTTATTTGCTTCAACCAACTTAACTGGCAGTAAGAAACAATATAATATGCAATTATATTGCAAAGGTCTGTACTCAGCGAACAGTAAGTTAATGATACCAGGTTTGATTTCTCATGGGCTTTTGAATAAGCCTTCTGAGAATGGACATTAAGAAAGAGTGGGAGGATACCAGGGAGAGAGAATAGGTGGAGAAGTTCAAGCTCTTGGACTGAATCCCAATGGAGAGAAGTTATCTGCTGATGAGACTTTTTTTTTTTTCTTTTTGCAAGAACATTTATTTTTATAATCTTAAGATCTCTTTCTGTTGGTTTTTTTTTTTTTTGCTTCCACACCAGATACTGCTTTTCTTACCACCTTATCTTTTTACTTGTAAGTAGTATCCATTTCTACACATCTTTAGTGTTAGTACAAGTGCATGTGCAGTTTACCCATCTGAGTGGATTACTTCTGAAAATCACTGTGATACTGCCATATCTGTGTTGCATGGAAAACATTTAAATTTGGAACTACAAGTAAATTCAGTTCTGCCATAATCTCAGAGCCACAGATACATATTGCTACTATCACCAGTTTGTATAGAACCGAACTGGCATTCAGGCAGCAGACTGCAATTCAATCAGCTATTTATTTACACACTGGTGCACCCCAGCACAGTTGCTAGTGGTACATATATAGAACTCTGTGGAATACCATTTCTCACTTTCAGTATTTGAGAGTTATAATTTAGAGATGCTACATTAAACTCACACATCTATTTTCTGAATCTGACTCCAAGACTACAGAGCACCTTAAGAAAATCAGGAGCATACTAAATACTGTGAATTTTGCATTCATGCAAAGTTGGAAATCAGCTTATTCACATTTGTATCTCAAGAGATTCCATGTTCAAAACTAAAGTACATTCAGGAGAATAACAGTTATTAATAATAGTAATGAAAAGAGCTGTAATAGATAAATTATCACAACGGAGTTACATCTTCAGCAGGCATTGCTGTTGCCATGGCACGAGTTTCTCATGTAAAATAAAAATCCACTAGAAATCTGTTCTATAGCTATGGTAACAACTGTATCATGACACCTACACTATTCATCTATTTGAGTTCTGTCTTCATTTGATCCAGAAAGATGTTTTAGCAGCACACTCTGCATAGGTGTAATATCTGCCCCAAACAGTATTCTCAGCTCCCTTTCCACACAGTTGATTGATAAAACTAACACTGACAGCTGAGTAATATTTGGAGAGTACCCTCTCATAGAAGGATGGTACGCAAAGAAGTCATCTTATTTGCATGGTAAAGATTGCTTTGGACACACTAGAATACCTTCAGTAATGATGATATTGGTAGCATTGCCAAAGTGATATCATAAAATGGGATGACCAGCAAGAAAAGGTGTAGGACAGAAAATTCATAGTGTTTAAAAACTGAAGTCACAGTATTCAGGGAGGCATTATTTCACACAGAAAAAACCATGGTGCTCTGACCAAGCTCCAGCTCTTTGATGGCAGTAAGTTGGCTGCAGATATCTTTGATGAGACAGTGCAATGTTTTCTCACTCTAGTAAATGTTATAGCAAGGTACCATGGACCTGTGTGGGAGATAGAACAACACGATTACTAAGCAACTGATGAAGAATGTGGCC